AAAAAAAAAAAAAAAAAAAAAAAAAAGGTTCCTTACTGGAGAATGTAAGCAATGTTAATACCCGTCTCATCAACTGCGAGTTCACCAATACGGTTGTTATTAAATAAGCATGCATGCTGAAGAAAAAGCAATATAGTTCTCCACAAATTCTTTGGACCTCTGCTCATTTCAAATCGTTCGCGACCACCATCTACAACGAGTTCAAATTGCGGTGGATGAATGCTTACCTAAAAATTAATAATTAAAGAAAATAACCCATAAAATGAGTGCAATAAAAGTCAAGAACAAAAACCTCTACCTGATGAATATAAAATGAGTCAGGGGCACACTGGACCGGCGAAGGTTTACTAGGCTTTTTCAAGTAATAAACAGATGAGAAAGGGGTTTGTAGATCGCCTGCCATAGAATTTGCAGCCATTCTAAGAAAAAAAAAACTATCCAGTTAGATATCAAAATCTTCACTATAATGACAGAAATTAATTTCATTTAAATTTCAAAAAACTAACAAAAAATTAAAGAAGAACCGACCTGCCATCAAGATATGTGCAGAACCACGACCAAACTAACTGTGCATCAGTTGGCAAATGTTCGCCCCATGGCCCTTCTTTTGGCGAATAACCACATGTATCTTAGAAACAAATTAAATATACATCTGTAAAAGCCTTCAAGACGAATATATTGAGACTTGATCGCTATTATATACCTCTGTCCTTTCCTTCAAAAGGTTCGCCACCACCGCTTTGCCAATTGTATTCTTTCATACACATATCAGCACCCAAAATCTGAGCACGCTTAACAATATACGCTTGCTTCTCATGAACTTTCAAGTATGGGATTAAATAAGGCAACTGTGTGCTAAACAAATCCGTTTTGGATGACAAAGCCGATTGTAATGCCTGAACGGTCGACTTACCAATTTTCAAGTGGAGCAACGGGTAGTCCTACAGATAAAAATTTTAAGTTACTAAAGACGTATTTCGTTAAAAAAGCAACACCAACATAACAAAGTGAAACTTAAGGTGTTACAAGAATTTTATAAAGTAAAAACATTAAACAGTAAAATCTGACACAAACCACGAAACCTTAGAAAAGATCTCGTTCATTTTGTCAATACTTTTGAGTAGGGGACGAATAATCGTTCCACAAATCCAATACCGTAATAAACCTTCACTAATAACAAACTGTTCAGCATCCATTTTATACCTGTAAAATTAAATAAAAAGTGAAGTAAGTGAAAGTCTTAAAACGATTTCAAATTTCGAAAGTGTTTACAAAAAACGCTTTAAAATGAAACAAAACACAGTTACTGATTTAAAATTTCGGCGGAACTAAGCGAAATTTGCTTTGCCAAGATACTAGGTGGCGAACTATCCGAAACAACGAAAGCGCCTGAGAATGGACTAGATGAAGCATTCGAAACAGGAGAAACACTAACTGCACGACGACGTTCCCAGCTTTCCGAGCGTCTTGACGCT